GTTTAGGTTGCAAGTTACTATTATTGGCTGAGAAAAGCTTAGATTTGACGGGAAGCCTCCAAGTGCACTTTCTTTCCGAAAGCTCCTTTTCACTTCTGTCTTCGCCTTTGGCTGTCAAAGCAAAGGAAGGTCCATAATATACTGGCTGGTTGATTTGCGAGACTTAGCTCAGAATTTGCCATTTTATGCACGATAGAAACTGAAAAGTAATTAATGATAGAGATAAAAGAGAAACACAATATTAACGTTATCTGGCGTGACTAGGACAAATTTTATTTTTGACATTATGAATAAGAAATACTGAATTATAAGAGAAAATACTGTACATTTTAATAAGTTTATTATTTAGGAAGAAGGTAATATCTCTATTACAAGTGGTATTAGAGTTAACTTAAGAAATTAGTCCATTAACAGTGCTTCTGAAAGGGAAAGTGAATAAAGAGATTGCCACGGGAATGCTAATGGTTGCAGTGAATAAAAATAATTATAACTCAAATGTTGGATAGAGTGAATAAGAAATATTAGAATATAAGATAGATGAACTGCACAACTTACATAAACTTACATAAGTACATCTTTTGAATAAAAAATAATAACTCAGTGACATACTAAAAATACTGAATATTTAATTAACTCTATAAGAAATACTTAAATATAGTTATCTAAAGATAATCTAAACTAAAACTAATCTAATTATAAAAATAATCACTAATAATAAATAATCTCTTGACAATTTAAACTAAAAACACAAACCTAATTACCAGAAATGTTTCCCTGTCCTAGTGGCATACACTTATAATAAACACGCAGACAACTACCCCTGTATCTCTGGCTCAGATTTGATGACTTGTATTCTATTTATTAAAAAAAATTTGTTTCTAAAAACAAAAATATTGAGAATGTTAAATATTTTATTATTTTCACATGGCTATGTTTTCAAAGAATTCTAAAAATAGTTTTTTGTTATATTTAAAACAGAGCTTTTTTGTATGAAAAATCTGTTCAAAACAGTTTTCATAAACAAATTGCAAAACAATTCTTTTTATTTTTTGAAAACATAAAAAATTATTTTGTAAAATAAAACCAAATTTTTGCTAATGGACAAGCATATATCTTGAGTGATGTGGTGTTTGCGTACGGTATAATAGCATTTGAACTACCATTTAGATTAGGGAAATTATATTTTTTATTAAAATCATTAAAATTCTCTGATAAATAAGAAATTAATTATTCGAGGCAAGACCCGCTTATGTGTCTCTATCTTAAAAAATTGGAAAGGTAAAAACGATAATCAAGCAAGTGTTCTGTGCAGAAGTGCCAAAATGGGTCTACTCGGTTGAGCCAACTTGGATAGTCTGATAGATGGGTCGGGATAGATCAGTGAAATATAAGGTCAAAATATTAGGCCTCGCCTGATCAAAATAGATTAGCCCTAAATGGACCGGCCCATGTTCAGTCTGGTCAACCAGTTAACCCAAATAAATTTGATAAATTTAATGTATATTCTTTTCTTTAATATTTTTTAGTATATCTAAATTGGATAAATTATATTAAGAATATATTTTTAATATTATTTTAAGAAATTGATATATTAATTTATTTTTAATAAAATTAAAATTTAATAAAAATATTTTTTCATTATCATATTTATATTATATTATATTATAAGTCCAATTACCTAAGTAATGTACATATATATATATTATTTTTTTAAATTATTTAAACTAAATCTTAACCCACTTTACTTACATTCATCCGTAATCTTATATTAAATGCTCAAAAAGTTACAACAAAATAGAGGTCATATGACTTGTAAGATAATACAGCATACAAAAAGTTAAACTAACCAACAAATATCCCATTATTATTATAATTATCATAATTTTGTTTTAAATTAAAAAAATTACTTTAGACTAGCAAGTTAGGCGGGCTAGCTTGTAATCCATACAAGATTAAGATAAATTTTATTTTATTAACTATATTAATTTCTAATTTTTTTAATTTTTTCAATTTAAATTTTACAAATTATTATTATTATCATTTTAATAAAATATATTATTAAAATTCGAATTCATAATTTTAAATAATGATTACTATAATTTATATTTAATTTATTTATTTTAAATTATAAATATATAATTAATTTATCATCTAATATTTTAACGAGATGCAAAATTTCTAAAAGAATTGTAACGAATTTCGAGTTAAAATGCATCCTTTCGGATATCAGCACCCAATTTTGAAGAGAGCAATGACAAACGTTCCGACTGCAGTGTCATCGTTGCCAAAGGAAAATAAGGGGGCTTTTAAATTTATTTGGATAACCTAATACTTTTTCTTTTCTACCTTTTTTTTTTTTTTTGACAGTGAATTTTATTGGACCGACTCATGAAACTGGGAAGGGCATGTTGCATGTCACTGGATAACCCCAGGGACCAAAATACGTGAGTTTCTTCAAATAGCCAGAATTTATGAATGGCCCCTACAGAACGCAGAAGAACCCACATATATTGTTTCTCAGAATGTTCTCTGTTTCAAAAAAAATAAAGGCAAATTTTTTTTAGGAAAGTTGTTTTGAAAACTGTAGAAAAACGAAACCCATTTTTTAGAAAACAACAAAAGTAATTTTAGAATTCGCAAAAACTTTTTCCCATGAAAATGGAAACAACACAGTTGTTAAAATTTTTAGTGTTTATAAAAACAGAAAACAGAAATTAAAAAACATAGAGCAAACACAAACCGGCCCCAAGGCTTGTAAATAAATGAAAGGTCCAATCCTCATTCTTAACACCCTCTAAGCTGTCCATGTCATAGAGACAAGCAAGACTTAACTTTTTAAGCTTAAACTAGTGAAGCCATGACTCATCCAATTCAGTCCATTACCATGAAAAGTTTCAAGCCCATCACTTTCAAACGTTTATATTGCTTGGTATCATATTGCTTCCCACATATTCTATAAGTTTCTATTCAAATCTCTCTTCACTAGCCTCCTATAGCTTAGAAAATGTTCTATTTCTCCACGAATTTCCTAAATTTACCAAGATGAGCTTAAACTCCTGTAAAGTTCTCTTAAGCCAAAGAGAAGACAATACTTTGAAGGTCCCTTTGAGAAGAACACAAATAGTACATAAAAATGCGGTGGTAAAAAATGAGAAATCAAAAATATATACAAAATTTTATATAAAAACGCCTAAAAAAAAATTCATAGGATCTTCTCAATTTAGATAAAACTTTCATTATAATTAATAGTAAGATTACAAACAACTTATTCTAATCAATGGATAACAACAACATTTGCTCTCATTCCGAATCTTTTTCTTGATCATAAAAAATAACCAAGCCTCTCAATCGTGACTCACTGTTATGCTTTATTGTAATATATTTTTCTCTAATTTACCCCACTATCGGTCTAGAGCTAAGCTTTTTAATAGACAAAGAAAATTCCAAATCTATTACATATCAAGACTCCTTGTAATAGAAGAATTCTACCATCTTTGTGTGAGCTTGATCAAGATAAGTATTCAAGGACGTTGGACAAGGATAAAGCTTTAGTTTTGAGGATAATCACTAGATTATTTCTTCTCTGAATTAGGTAAAGTCTTAGAAATAGACAAACATCATTAGAAGAGACATCCTGATGCTTCAACACAGAAACCAAGTATCTCTACAGCCTTTTCATTGGCAAACTTCATGGTTTTACCATGGTTTCAACAATTATTACAAGGAAAGGATATAAAAGTTCTTGGAGTTATTTTTAGAAAAAACATTAGGAAAGAAAATGAAAGAATTATTTAAGAGCAACAAATATGATTGGCAAGGAAAAGTCAAAAAATAAGAAGTTCATTAATTTTACCATTTCTTTTCTTAATGGCATCACTTCAAATGTTAATATTCAATCAATTATGGTAAGTAATGTTAGGTAAAACAATGACTTAGTTCTTAATTAAGGTTATTTTTATCATGTGCTTTCCAAGAGAGCTTTAGTTAGAGGTACACGAGAGTATCATTAAGATATTAGGACACGTTTGGTATATTTTAGATTTGGATAAAAATTTAATTTTTAATATTTTTAACTCTTTAAAATATTATATATATATAAATATATATGCGTGTGTGTGTGTGTGTTTAGTTTTTTAATTTTAAGTATTCTTATTTATTTTATGATTTAAAATTAATCTTATTCTAAATGCATGATTATTATTTTTCAAATATATATTTTGACAAAATCAAACATAATTCTTAAAATACGATCTTATGACTAAATATGGGATTCTAAAAATATTTTATATTTTGAAAGACAACAATTTATCCGAATCAATTGCAGTTGTTTCATCACAAATTTTTTATTTTAAGATTACTCAATTATTGAGGAAGACTATCAACTCTCATGGACTATTTTCATTTTTTGTTAAAATTATATTTTTTTCTAGATTATATCTAATCATCTGTATCTACAATTTTTATTTGTCATCATGTCAATGCATCAAAAAACAAAATTTCCCTGTAATTTTCCAAAGCAATCAACAAGCAAAAAAACACTATATTCCATTTATTTCTGTTTTAAAAAATATATTTTTTTTAAATTTTCCTTGAGGCATCGCAAATTCTTATAGTAGCGTCACCCTTTTTTTTCTCGCACAAGGAGCTTCAGAATCAGTTCATTCAACACGTGCGTCACTCTATATATAAATTTCGAAACTGTTCTCTGCGGCGCTCCCAGCAGCTGCGCCTGAAACCCTCGATTTACCACGGGATCTGCGCATCTTACTCCGGGACAAGTACGGCGATTAGTGTCGAAGCACAAGTCGCTTGATCTTCGTTCTTCAATCTCAGATCTCTACCTAGATCTCGGTTCCTGATCTTTCAAGGTTTGTTCCATACAAATGCAATATTTTCTTTTTTTTTTTTTTTGGGTGGGGGGGGGGGGGGCGCGGTGTTGGAGGGAAGGGGCGGTGAGGGTTTTTATCTATATGGTGATTTTGACTTTTCATGGGGATTAGATGGTCTCAGACGCGAGCAAGAAGAAGGCAGCTCAGAAGAAGGCGGCTGCGGCGGCGAAGAGAGGAGGGAAAGCGGCCGCCGCGGCGGCATCGTCGAAGGCGGCGGCGGCTGAGAACTTGGCTAATGGCGTAGACGCCATTCAGATATCGGATCGGACTTGTACCGCTGTACTCTGTTCGCACCCTTTGTCCAGGGATATTCGGGTGAGCTATCTAATTTATTTGACTTCGCATTTTTTTGAACAGCGTTTGTGGATAGTTGCTGATTAGGATAATAGTCTCGCTGACCTGAAAACTTTAGTTTCCTATGGTTTTTGGTCGTGTAATTGGAAGTTGGATTTGGAACTATTTCCTCTCAAGCTTTTTGGGGAATTTTTCTCGAGATTTTTGTTGCAATATTTGGGAAAAATTATCACGATGTAATTTTGGTTGTGGTAAAAATGGAAAGTTTGAAGTTGGAATAATAATTTTTAGTCAATGCTTTATAGATGTCTTAATTATGTTGCCATAAGTGCTTTTTCTTGTTCGTTTATATGTCTTGGTGCTGGCTGAGGAGTCCTTTAATAATACAAAATATTGTTAGCATGATTTAATGCTAAGTCGTGGTCAGTGAGTTTAGGTTCTTGAATCATGTAACTGTTGTACTTACAATTTGTTTCATGTTTATTAGTTCAACGTGTTACGACGGAGTGTTACAAATGTTGACTTTTTAGTAACAGTAGGGCAATTTGGAATTCATGCTGATACATGAAATTGCGTTTGACATACAAATACCGCTAGGCAGGTGAGGAAGGTTTCAAGGAAAGGAAAGAAGGAAGCACAAAAAGTTGAAAAGAACTATATTTGTAAGATCCCAAAATTTCTAGACAATGTCTAGATATTTGGATACGGGCTTACTAATGGGGCTTATTTTAAAATATTTGGATTTACTCTTTTTTCCTTGTAAAAGCTTAATGGGATTAAACCAAATTAATTGTTCGACAAAATCAAATTGAAGCAGAACTATCTTTAAGATAACCAAATTTAGGAAAAAAATCAAATTTTCATTTTTTTAATTAAATATTTGGTTAAACTAAAACATATCTTACTATGTTACAACCCTGTTCAATAAGAACAAGTATTCATATAAGATATATGCAGTTAATCTTGTATGATTCTTGCAATGATTTAGTGTTAGGTAATTTTGTTTGTGGATAGACACGTGTCTATGTACCAGGATAAAAGACTAGACAAGTCACATGACATCCGATATGAGTCCTAGTGTGTCCATGAAGTGCCTAATAGGGATATGTGTCACAAATGGATGTCTCAAAGCATGGTGCATTTATGCATCCTCAGTGATGGTGATAACAATTTTTGCGTGGAAACCAATCACTAAATTTAATTACATCCTGACACTTCAAGATTTTGTATCAGTTGGTGTCTTGAAGGAAAAATCTGTGGAGAAAATTTGAAACAGTTTAGCTTTTTTTGACCTAGTTTCTATATATATATATATATATATATACACATATATATATGTATGGGTTAGCGTGCTGAGAACTAGACCAAAATTTTGTTTTGGTTCTTTCTTCCAAAATAAAAAGAATCAGAATAAATTCATAGGTCAAAATTGAAGTCTAGTCATCAATTTTTTTCACACTTAACTGCACGACATAAAAAAAGGATAGTATTTCACCTTAAGAGTATGACATGGTGTTGGAACCTTATGCATGATGCAGTTTTAGAGTCTGTTGGGGCACTTAAATGTAAGGGTCAGATGTAAGATTCTGGAGGTAGTAAATTTTATAATTGTGTGTGTGGAGCTACATAGACTCCTAATTCGAAAGTTAGCAGCCCATACAAGGTTATTAGGATGATGTAGACTTTTTCACCTATTCTAGCTTATATTTGCTAATTTGGTGTGCCTATATGGCCCCAAGTCAAGCAGATGATTCTTCTACCAAGGTGTTCAGTTAATGAAGTTGTCAGGTTTATTTACATGAATACTCACCTACTGTGTTTATGTCCCACATATTCCAGAATCTAGTGTACCTTGACCCACGCTTTTGTGGAGAAGGTAATGATGTGTTCAAGAATTAGTTTCTATGAATATCTGCTCTAATAAACATCTTGTGTTACTTTAAGCTTTATAATCTTGATGTTGATGAAAAGCTAAACTGTGCATGGCTATTGCAGATAGAGTCTCTATCACTTACGTTCCATGGACATGATCTTATTGTTGATTCTGAATTGGAACTCAATTATGGCAGGTTTTTGGCTTATCCTTGACTATATCGCTTGCTTAAATAACTGAACTGTTTGATGCATTTACGCATATTTATTATGTTCTTTCTTTACAGACGTTATGGTTTACTTGGATTGAATGGCTGTGGGAAATCTACTCTTCTTAACGCGATAGGATGCCGTGAGCTTCCTATTCCTGAACACATGGATATTTATCACCTCACCAGGGAAATTGAAGCTTCTGATATGTCAGCACTTCAGGCTGTCATAAGCTGTGATGAGGAGAGGTTGAGATTGGAGAAAGAAGCTGAAGCTTTGGCAGGACAGGTATTTTTTGTGTGATTAAATGGTCTGATATCTTACAGCTTGGTATTCTCAGCAACCTAATCACAAATACAACAATTCTTTGCTTTTAGGAGGATGGTGGTGGAGAAACTCTTGAACGTATTTATGAACGTTTGGATGCTATGGATGCATCAACTGCAGAGAAGCGTGCTGGTGAGATCTTATATGGTCTTGGTTTTAACATGAAGATGCAAGAAAAGAAAACACGTGACTTCTCTGGTGGATGGAGGATGAGGATTGCTTTAGCACGAGCTCTCTTCATGAACCCTACTATTCTATTGCTAGATGAACCCACCAATCATCTTGGTAAATTCCAATGGATCTTAAGTTGCCGGGCTGCTATGGCTTTTGTTTTGCTTTTGGTTTCTGTTTCATGCTTTCTATGTCTTGGTCAACATTCTGAAGTTTATGAAAGAGTTGCTTTTCTTTATTATCATTCTCTCTATTGCGCAGATAATTGATTGAAAACAATTGTGATTCGTACAAATAGTTGATTGAAAACAATTGCGATTCCATGACTTTATAGTGTAATGACCCAAAAGCAATTCAAGCTACTTTTTGCCATGTAGCTGTCAATTATTTACTATTTTCTTTAAAACTTGTGAGGAGGTTGATCACCATTCTAATGCTGAGGAGAAAACTATTTGATTATATTATGCATGTTGGTAGATTAATTGTCTAGACGTTTCAGTCGGGTTTTCCCCTCCTTTTTCTTTGCTTATATCTTGGATGGTTATGAACTATCAATCATTTTCCACTGGCAGATTTGGAAGCTTGTGTCTGGTTGGAGGAAACATTGAAGAAATTTGATCGCATTTTGGTTGTGGTCTCACACTCCCAGGACTTCTTGAATGGTGTTTGCACAAACATCATCCACATGCAAAACAAGAAATTGAAAATTTATACTGGAAACTACGATCAATATGTTCAGACTCGTGCCGAGCTAGAAGAGAACCAGATGAAACAGTACAAGTGGGAGCAGGAGCAAATTGCTTCAATGAAGGAATATATTGCACGATTTGGACATGGATCTGCCAAACTAGCCCGTCAGGCACAGAGCAAAGAAAAAACCCTGGCAAAAATGGAGCGAGGTGGGCTTACAGAGAAGGTTGTGAGAGATAAGGTTCTTGTTTTCCGATTTCCTGATGTGGGAAAGCTCCCTCCACCTGTATTACAGTTTGTGGAGGTCACATTTGGTTACACACCTGAAAATCTTATCTACAAGAATCTTGACTTTGGAGTAGATTTGGATTCGAGAATAGCTTTAGTGGGGCCAAATGGAGCGGGGAAGAGTACACTGCTGAAGCTGATGACTGGAGATTTGATTCCTCTAGATGGCATGGTTCGGAGGCACAATCACCTGAGAATTGCACAGTTTCATCAACACTTGGCTGAGAAGCTTGACCTAGAAATGTCTGCTCTCCAGTATATGATGAAAGAATACCTAGGAAATGAGGAAGAAAGGATGCGGGCAGCAATAGGGCGGTTTGGGCTCACAGGCAAGGCCCAGGTGATGCCCATGAAGAATTTGTCCGATGGGCAAAGGAGTCGTGTGATTTTTGCGTGGTTGGCATATAGACAGCCTCATATGCTGTTATTGGACGAACCCACTAATCACTTGGACATTGAAACTATTGACTCACTGGCCGAGGCGTTGAACGAGTGGGATGGTGGCATGGTTCTTGTCAGCCATGATTTTAGGCTCATTAACCAAGTGGCGCACGAGATATGGGTGTGTGAGAACCAGACTGTGACCCGATGGGAAGGTGATATTATGGACTTTAAGGAGCACCTGAGGAGCAAAGCTGGTCTGTCCGACTGACATAGAGTTTGTAATGCCTCCCAATCGATTCCCTTGGTGGTGGGGAGGATCTTCACCACGTGGCCATTATAGATTTAGTGGCTAATGTTAATTGCAAACTTGGGTAAATGGGAAACAAAGTAATGAAATCTACCCCCAGATATTATTGTTGAAATTGGGAGTCTTGGAACATTATATTGATAATGTATTTTTTTATTTGGATAAAAGTATTTGCAGGGATTATTACGCATTATTTTTGGATTATATATAACATTTTCTGTTTTATTTTTTGTTTTTGAAAGCAAAAACTATATTCTTTCCCATCCATGATGCATGTGGAAGTTACATGTCTTTTTTCCTTCTGTAATGGATTTGTGCAGCCCGTGCGACCAGTTTGCCAACTAACTTTAGCCGTTAGATTAGAAATGGGCATGTGTTGGAGATCCCACCCGCCACTTGGGGAACTGATTGGAGACATACCAGGGAGCATCCAAGTCCGAACTGATTCTATAAGCTGATTGGATCTTCTCTCTCCCAGTACTGTGGCGCTTTTTATTTAATATTAATATGCTATGAAACCATGGGCAGAAGTAGGCGTCCAGGACAGCAGTCACTGAAGGGGACAATACTTCAGAATTTCCAATAAATCCAACTTGCTTATTTTCATCAACGGATTTAATTCTGTAGTAACTTAAATTATTTGATAATCAGATATGGTACGAGTGCTATATATTTGAGAAATTTTTGTTTCCATGGTGTCATTTACAGAGTCAATCTTATCAACTAATTTGCAAAAACGGTTCACTGTTTAGGGTTGTTTGCTTGACTTATTAGCCCTAGAAATGTAGAAGGAAGAATGTTAAAACCCGAAAGTAGTCATTGGCGAAATTCTGGTGCAGAACATCTGTGTGCCATCCGGTGTACGTCCAGAATGAACGCAGACCGGCAAACTTAGCAACCATTGCTTCAGATAGGGAGGCATTGTTAGGATTGGGATTTGAGAAGTGGCCCATGTAGCTTCTCCCACGCATAAGCGCACAAGGGCGTGTTCGCTTTGATGGATAAAATAGAATAAGATAAATTTATCTTAATTTATTTCCTATTTACACATACTTAATAGTATTGTAAATGGTCCGAATAAGAAATCTAAGCAATTACTCATATTTGGCTTTACTAGTTAGAATGTAATAAAATTATCGGACATAAAAGATAAAATAAAATATATCAACTGTCCTTTGCCTTTCTTCTCTCTTCTTTACTTCTTTGGTCTCCAAAACTGGATCCACTACCCTAATTCCTAATCGAGCCACCATCCAATCCTTGTCCTATGGGCCGATACCCTCTTCTTCCTTCATCTAGTTCAATCGAGCAGATTGAGTGAGCTTTTGCAATCAAGCAATCCTTGTCCCATCGTCTTGCTTCTACAATTGAGCGTCTCAGCCACAATCAAGCTACCAACTTTTGCCAAATTCTTTCTTTGCCTATTGCTTTCCTCCTCTTCCGACATAGCCTTCCCGATTTGTAGAGGTTCCTCACCATTGCCCAACAAGATCGGCAAAGTCTTATACCTCACCTCCACAATTGATGTCTCACCTCAGCAACGCTAGCCTGTTATACTCTCTCTCTTTTGACATAACCATAGTCCATTTGATTTCACCTCCTTCCATCTGATTTCACCTTGTGCTGCCTAGTAGATCTGCTTGATAGCACTGGATTTCATTATAGATTTGGGACACTCTAGTAATTTGTATTATCCAATTTTGTATTCAATTTAGAAGTAAAAAACTACTAAATAAAAGATAAAGAAAGAGAAAGATAAAAATATTATGTAGACAGAGTAATTTTATCCTACGGTGCCTTGGGAATAAGAAAAAAGATAAGGAGATGATCCATCCAACTATTTAACTCTGGCAACAAAAATAGTCGTGGCATGGCCGCAGAGACTTGCTGTAAAGAAAAAAAAAAGAGTTATCTTTTTTGTCATTAAGGTCGTATGATCAAGTTCTTGGTATTTCCATCTGGAGAGGGACTAGAGGAAAGCAAAGGAGACACCCAGGCACCAGGCCACGTGCAGATATTCCTCTTCACCCTTTTTGGCATTTGATCTTCTTGTCGCTCGAACAGTGGCCAACACTTGCATTTGAAGCTTAGGCAGCAAACCTGGATCCTGACCCCGACCCAACAAAACAGTGTATGGTCTCGATCGCCTTACTGGGAAATAGAGACAGGGAAATAAAAAAAAAAGCGAAGAAACGTGCCCTCCTTTTCCAATAACTTTCAGACAGAAGTCCATCTCATCATTGAGCTTCGGTCAAGAGTACCCTGTGGATAGAACCTCCAATTTAAATATATAAATTTATTAAAAAAATATTGGTGAGCAGTGCGTGAGAATGTAGTAGGAGCTTATAAAAGAAAAGATTTCTGCTATATATAAAAATTTAATTCTAATTTAATAAAAATAACAAGTTTATGCGCGATCTTAAGAGATTTGTGTGCTTGTAAAATCTTAATGGACTTGATTTAGATTTAAAGAGAGTTATTTCTTTCTTATTTAATTTTTATTTAATTAAAAATTATACTAATTAAATTTAAATAAATATAGATTAATGGTAACTCATCTCCTAAGCTAAGTAAATATTCTTAAGAGATTTGTGTGCGTGTAAAATCTTAGGACTTGGTTTGGATCTAAAGAGAGTTATTCTTTCTTATTTAATTTTTATTTAATTAAAAAGTATACTAATTAAATTTAAATAAATACAGATTAATAGTAACTCATCTCCTAAGCCAAGCAAATATTATTTTAAAAAAGTATTTCACGCAAGATGCCTTTGTTCACTTCTTCGTTTGTTGTCTCCTTACAAATATAATTATAAAAATATATTTGATATACTAAATATCAGAAGGTAGTTTAATGATAAGTTTCTAGTAGATGGGGTGCCCCTAAAGACTATGTGCTTTATGCAATCCCTCAGGGAATGTTTGAAAAGGCGAAAAATTGGGATTTTACTCATTTAGGATTTTAATTTTGGTTTTAGTTAGAGAAAAAAATTAATAAAGAATTAAAATTGTTAATTCTTTTGAAATGTTTAATTTCTTGGAGCATTTATGGAAGTAAATAGGAAATGTGGGGGCTAATGTTTGAAAAATAATGTAAATGGAAGTTTCATTGAAATATTCTACTCTTAATATTCTTATATATTTCATATTACCTTAACAAGATTGTACCGTATCCTACTCCACTAAAGATTACGAACTTCTACTGAGTGTTTGGATGGGAGGATAGGATACAGGAGATAAGATATAACTTGATAAATTTATCAAGGAAATAAATTTTATTACAACTTTGATTTAACAGATAATAAATTGAACAAAATTTTTAAAAGTAGAACAAAATTGAGAATTTACCAAAAAGTCATCAGATATAAAAAAAAAAAATAAAATTTCCTCTCTCTCATCGTCCTCCCTCTACGTCGAATCCTCGTCTACGTCATCCTCCCTCTACCATTAGTCGTCGTTTGCATCATCGGGCCACAAGCGTCGTTCGTTCAGCCGTCGTTGAAGCTTTGCGTCATCATCGGCAATCGGACCGTCGTCCTTTTAACCAGATTGTCATCGTTGCCTGTCGTCGTCCTATGCCGCCTGTCGTTGATGCCCAGTCGTCATCTAGTGGCCCAACAACACCCGGTTGAACCAAATCAATCGGCCAAAACTTCAAGCAGCCAAAACTTCAAGCAGTCGAAGCTTCGGCCAAAACTTCAAGCAGATGTGAAACAGTTGCCGCTTGTCGTCATCGGAAGCAGAGCCCAAACTACAGCTAGAGATCGCCAAGAGGAGATCGACTGGTTTCACTTGGAATTCGAACGGGAGAGAGTGATGGTATTTCCAGCATTATACAAGGGTATTTTTGTTCGAAAACAAAATTTTACACGCTAATACAAATTATCCAACCCGGTTGCCCAAATACTATATCCCATATCCACTTATACATATCTTTTTCTTGATTTGTTACACGCGAAGCGAACGCGTGATAAGACATGATAAGTTTATCTTATCTTGCCTTATTCTACCAACCGAACAGCCCCTTAGACTACTGTCAATTTTCATCTTTTATCAACACCAAACAAAATGCGTAAAATTTTTATACCTTACTTAATTTTTAAAATTTATACATTTCACTTTTTTATTTTCAAATTGAAAAAAATTAAAATTATAATATTTAAGTATAAAAATTTAAAATTTATAATATTCTTTTTTTCATTTTTTATATTAAAAGAATATAAATCGAAAAAAACCAAAGAAACAAGCATTAATTACATGATAAGGACGTACCCATTAAATGTCATACAGCTAATCAAATGAATTAATAATGATTTATTTGCTTTTAATGTGGTTAAAATCATATGCTATATAATCTACTATACACTTTACAAAATAATATATACAAATAGTTCCATAAATATACAGATATATTAAGTTTACGATACAAGATTGGTCCCTCAAAATTTCTGTGCTGTCTGGAAAGCAACTTCAGGTGACGGGTGATATAAATGTTGGGCATTTTGGCTTGAGTACAGACACGTACAATGATATTTGACCAATCCAAATTAATCTTCCTCATAAATATTTTTTAGTTTTTAATTTTTTTTAAATCCAAGTATTTTTTATTTCTTAAAAATTTTCTTGGAAGTGGAAATAGTTGTCAAGATTTATAGAAGGTCAGAAAAATAAGGAATGTTATTTAATTACAAAAGGTTACATCACGCGTATAAAATTACCACCTCACAAATATATTCACCCACGCTTTACCATTATCGCCATCCGAACGTCACTCGAGGTGAAAACGTAGGATCTATGGAGTCGCTGTGAGGGGTTAATAAAAATTTGTTACTTTAAATTATAATTATTTGTTTAATAGTCAATTATGAAATGAAAAGATTTACCATACCAAAAAAAGTGAAGAAAATTGTAACTGGTAGTAGATAAAAACTGAGTCAAATCGAATGAAACAAAATTGGTTCAGTTTAAGTTAAGTTTTTCATTTCAAATGCAATTTAACTCTATTAGAGAAACTTCAAACCAAAGATTTTTCCTTGGTTTTTGATAAATATATTCTATTGATTTTGATAACATAAATATAATCCGAAATTAACATACATCAAATTGTTGCGGCAAATTTTGTGCATGGGGGAAACCATTACAAATGAATAACTTCTTTTTCATAAGTTAAATGCCACTAATGATGTGTATTGGAGAGATATGCTAGCAGAGAGAAATTTTTTCCGGTAATCTCTTCTTGATCCATCAAACACATATATAAAGGTTTTCAAGTGTTAGTTGGGAGAAGTTAAATTAACTCCCTTTATTTAAATTAAAAAATTATTTGGGTTAGTTTTGACCTATCATGAGCTGACCCAATCCATCCATATTTCCATCATTTCCAACTCCTGACTATTAATGTTAAAATAATAATTAACTATATAATTTAGTATTTCTGAATGTATAATATACTATAATTTATTGTTTTAAAGTAAAAATGTGACTTAATACAATATACAAAGCAAATTATATTGTTGCCATTAGTTCCTACTGCCACCATCCCACCTGATCTATATTAACTACTGCCACCACCGATTGCTACTGTAAGTACGTACAATGTTTCTAACCTTGATTTTATACAGTTATTGTCAAACAAAAACTTTTGTCAAAGGAATTCTCCTCCCACTTAAGGACTTTAACCCTCATTTACAATTAACCAAAAATTTAAAAGAAGAGAGGGGGGGGGAGGGGGAGAGAGAGAGAGAGAGAGACCCTTATAACAGTTGCAATTTTTTAAAATATGTAGTCAGAAAATAATTCATATTTCTGCCAATCTCTGTAAATAGTTAAATTTTGGTGGAAGACAGATGGGAAAAAAAGTAAAGCTTTTGGACCAAATTGAAGCAGTTTACAACAACTTAAGACTTAATATAGTTTGTATATAGTTAGACATACTGGCTCAAGAGCTACTTATAAAGTAGAAATAATACCTCCATTTCCGTCGATCTTATTTATCGAGTGGAATTCTATAACATTTTGGAAAACATAAAACTGGAAACCGTACAACGTTGGCAAATTAACAACAAACAAGCCATTGAGGAATTTCATCCGACTAAACTTTTTTCAGGATGTACACATTTGCACACCAATCATTACAAAAAAAAAAAACCTAAAAATACCACCCAAAAGAAAAATAATTGTAGTATATTGTTCAGTTTTTAGATAAGCAATTAATTAGACCTAGCCCATAAAGTTTAAAATTACAAAGAGAAAAAGAAAAAAAAAAAGCGGCTAAGCACATATATATGCATACATGGAGCACAAGGCAGAGACGGAGAGAAAGAGAGAGAGAATTAAAAAGAAAAAAAAAAAAAAAAAAGGCTCTCTAGCTAACAGCCCTTAATCCAGTGCTCGGCGACTATTCTCTCGAGCTCGCTTGGCCTGCAAGGAACGATGAGTGCACCCTCCTGGTGGAACCCGTACTCTTCGGCGGCTCTCTCCAACAGCCTCATGAAGGAAGGGTGCGTCAGGCAGCTGAGCGGCACCACGAACCGCTTAATTTGGTCGTCCTCAATCGCCACCACTGCAAAGTGCCCTTCTTTCACGTCCTCAGGCACACCCATGGACTCGCCACCCTCTTCAAAGTCATCACTGATCTGTCTCTTGGCCAACAAGAAACTCTTCTGCAGCTTCTCCATTGCCGTCTTTAGTTTCTTCATCCGTTGATTCTCATGAGCTTAGCCATGATTTTTTTTTCTTTTTTTGCTGTTTCTTTACTCTCTCTTTCTGGGTTTTGGAACTCTTCCTGCCATTTTCTGGGTGCTGGCTTGCTTATTTATAATGCTGTGACATGATCAGAGATAAGGTAGACACTACTAGAGAGGTATAGAGAGTGGTCGGAGCGAGCATGGCGTAGAGAAGGGAGACCATTGCATGTGGAGGAAGTTTCATCTCACCCACGAAACGTCGCTTTTGGCTAGTCAAGTCTGCGTTTCTATTATGAATACTCACTCGTTTTTATTTGTCTACCTTTCTTATCAATGCCTAAACCTATCATTTTAATTAAATACAATAATATTAATCATCGAGGTGTTGCGGCACCTAAGAATTAGATTTCTTAAAAATTTTCGTATTTAATATTTTCTGAAACTACGAAATTATGAGCTTTAAACTCTCGATTAAATCTTTTTTCAAAACTTCAAATTTTAATTCTTGATAATTAGTCGACAAAAACTTTTCTTAAATATTTTTTTCTTCTAACCAAAAAAAAAAAAAATCATAAACTTTAAACTCCAACTTGTTACGGAAATGGACAGAGCATGGGCGCTTGCTTAACATTTTTGATGCACTGCAGATATTTGTAGGCTTCTTAAATTGGATTAACTTGACCAATGACAGCAGCGACTGTTGTTCAATATAGTAAGCAATTTTTATTGCAATAAGAGCGAGAATTAGTTCAATTTATTGAAAATACACTTATTAGAGAGTATTTTAATATTTCATACTCTCAATCTAAAAGAGATTAGTCTCAAGTTAAAATTGATTTAGAAATAGTCTTGGTTTCACTAAAATAAATAAACTTTTTACCAAGTGGTGAAATAATATTTATAGAACTAATTTTCCCCGTCTCAATTGACTTAATATTTAAAGCTTGTAATTTTCTACATTTTACATTGAAAATAAGCCTTTGTATATATCTAAGTAAGAAAAGCCGGTAGCTGTTAATTGTAAAGGTAACTTTATTCAAAAACAAACAAGGAAGATACTGCTTTTTTGTATCTTACTTTTGCCCGAGTTCGTGGTCAGTTAGTTACCTACGTACATTCTACTTCAACCATTCAATGCAGAAAGCTTAAGTTTCATGAAAAAGCAATTTTAATTTAGGGTGTGTTTGGAAGTACGCTATAATTTTTTCTTTTGGTAAATTCATTTTTATGCTGAGGAAATTAAAACCCAGAGAGGAAAGTTTGTGAAAATCTTAAATTTATTTCTTCTTAAGTTAGCCTTGATGTGCCACAGTAGAAAATTAAGCTGTGTTTGTCGGTTGTAATAAGCTGTCTCAAATTGGACTTTTGGCTTGTGTACATTGGTTAATAATACGCCCTTTCAATACATAAGGGGTCATACTTTGTACCTGGAATTGAATGAAATAATATCGTACGATGAAAATTGTGGTCCAGATATCTGGGTCAATTCTTAGCCTGTAATTACCATATAACTCCACCTGAAAGCAGGGCTTTTTTTTGTAGACGGAAAAGCCTGTGCCAGTCGAACCACTGCCGCGCGCGATATACCCAGAAGCTGCTTCTCCGTTTTCTTCTCGTGGACGGAAAAAGCTGTACCAGTACTTACCACTGCCGCGATAACCCAAAAGCTCCTCTGTTTTGTTTGATAGCTTCAGATAGATCAAGAAAATATTACGAGTTCAATTAAACTTATCTAAAATCTCACACTATCTTCAAGATCAGGTGTGACTAAATAATATTCTAAAATCCTCAAACCAATATTACGGGAACTATTTAAAATATTGAGGATTTTATTATAAAATAAAAAATATTTTTTATTTGAAAAATCCAATTCCAACCCCACTATATAAGTTTATTTAACTTTTCACTGTATCTAAAATACTGTAAAAATTTCTATATCTAACCAAGATTTATATATTATATATATATATATATATGTATATATATATTAAAAAAAAAATGAAAAGGGTTTGTTAGGAGTCAAGAGAACCAACAATTATGGGCTCCTTTTGTAGTTAAAAATGAAACACCATCCAATCACCATCATTGAAATTAATTCATTGGGCTCAATTTCAAATCAATCCTCACTTAGAAAGTCAACAAATACTGAATCTAATAGTTGTATTAGGATTTTTGGGATGTTTACTCAATAAGCAAAATAGTAATCACTAGTCAAACATCCAATTTTTTAATGGATACTTTCATTCCCAATTTTTTAATGGATACTTCAGTTATTTTATTAATTTTTATTTTTTTTGAGATACCCATAAGTTGATGTATAGTGTTAATTTTTTTTTTTTTATCTTTCAGTTTTAACTGTAACAGATTTCGATTCTAAAATTTCAAAAGTATAGCATTTATTTTTTAGATAGAATTCCAAATTTGTTTTCCAACTTGATTTTAATTCCAAAATCTTTGCGGATTTTAATTTTGTCATAGTTAAGAAATTACACCTTAAACATAAGTTTGTTGTAAGGTTTGGCTCTAGCTTGGCCAAACCCCAAAACAAACACCCTCCCTTCTATATGTTTGCGTTGGCTGAGAGGAATGTTTAAAATCCAAGTGGGAGATAGAACTAGTAACCTTATTATTGATTAAAGGTTTGACCGGTTTAACTACTGACTCAACCGATATAAAATTAAACTAATGAATTTGGAAAGATCTAAATACTAATATATAATTAAAAAGTTTAAATAAAATATACAAGGTTGAATTATATATAATAATATCATAAAAGAATTATTATTTGTTAAATATAAGAAAAAGTAAATGAAAAAGATACATTTTCCATTAAATGGTATTATTTTGTATTTTTTGTTTAAAAAAAAAGATTAAACCAGCAAACTAGTTTTTTCAAATTTTGATTGGTTTCCACTGGTTTGATCATAAAATAGTTTTATAAATTAAATTAATTTAGAAAGCCTACTAGTTCTCGGTTGTGCTAGCCGATCCGGTCTAGTTTTCAAAATATTGGTTTGATGGGAATAATCATTATATTAACTAAGATAATTTTGATAGCTTTAAAATAATTAAATATAAATTTGAATGTATGTTATTTGTTGCCCACTTTTGTTAATAAAATAAAATTAAATAATTAAATTTATTGTACCTAAACTTATATTTTCTAAACTCATATTTTCTAAACTCTTTTGTTCATATTTGCTAGTAAACGGAGTCCGTATATATTTGTAGAAACTAGAATTTATATGCAGAAATTAACATTTCTTTCTTAAAGGGGTGATATGGGAACGAATGTGTAACTTTTGAAATATTAATGCAAATATATTAAAATATGGAAATTAAAATAGAATTTAGATAAAACCATGTTGAATTAAAGCGTAATATATCAAAAAAAAAGTTTTTCTCATAATAAAATAATCAAACTCCTAAAATAACAATTTGGTTGATATATGATATTTCACTACTGGGACAGCCCATTGCACAACCGCTAAATATGTAAGCCTCTAACACAATTAAATGGAAATCTCACATATCTAATAGTTGTACAACATTAACTTCTCCCAAAATGACAAGGGGTTTGCGTTATTTCCCACAATGACAAGAGTGTTGTGCATTGAATTGTCTTTTCAGATCACCGTGAGTACAAGACATGGAACCCTAATTTCTTGTTTTTTTTCACATTTTGTATTGCATGTCCCTGCTTCCATCACATGTTAAGCGAAGGGGGCTTGTCCTGAGCTGTGCCACATGACATGAAATTGCTCTCTATTTTCGAGCTTAGCTTGCTCTTTTGTTTTAGTCACGGACAGATAGCATTTCGTATTGAAACCGTGTTCTTATGATTGAAAAAGAAAATAAAAAAAGTGCACAGAAAAAGATGATGAAATGATTGAACTATACAGAGACTACAATGGGTGTGACATAGAGATATTTTTGAAGAACGTTTGTCCAAAGTTTTGTACGCGGTCTCCCTTAAATCCGTGGACCATTATTGCTGGACAAGGGTCCACCCATCCAATACCGAGGAACAGCCTCCTGTATGGGTTACCAAACCAAAACATGGTGCCATAGACAGCAGAATACTTGATTGGTTTACTCATTTTCTGTTTTTATCTTTGGTGAAAAATAGAAAATAAACTTGAATATGCATTTAGTATTTAATTTCTGTTTTTATCTTCTGATAATATTTTTTTATAACAGGCTGCAAATTGATAATGACAAAAAATTGTTTTGTGTGTATTTTGTATAGAATTACAACCGCGATAATAAACTTATAATTAAGTCTATTTTCAATGCTTTTTTTTCCTCCTCCCTTACTTCTCTATCTTCTTCTCCCAGTTCTGTCTAATCGTTGAAACTTTTCTCTTCCATCATTGCTCGACTTGTCCTTTCCTTGCAAATTCGTTGCCCTTTTAGTAATTAGCCAACATCCAGTCGGCGACCATCACTAGATACAGAGAAGAATCAACTGACAACCATTGAACGGCCATCCTTTTGCTCTATTCACACAATGGAATCCCTAGAAGATGAAGGAGCTGAGACCAATCATAGAAGGTTGCCAAACCCTAAAGTTCCATCGGCAACCCTTTAATTTAAGTTGGGAGCTGGTTTTTTACTTTTTTTAATTTTTGGAAATCAGCTAGTTTTAAATCTCTCTTAATTGGTCATTTCACTTGTTTAAAAAAGGGATGGTCCATGTCATCTCCAGCAATTAGTTAAGTAGGTATCGTACAAAATTTTTGCATTGTGCTTTTCTGGCTAGCTATCTCCAATATCCATCCTATACAAACATACATACACACACATACAGCTTGCTGTGGCTTATCCTGCTCTGCTAATAATGCCCCGCTGAAAAGCCCTTGCTCTCGACTTTTTCTCTTTGAAGGGGCGCAAAGCAGGCCCTACAGCTTATTTATTATAAAGCAAGTTTTGTATGTGTGGATTTGCGTGTGTAGAATCAATAAATTTTCTCTCTCCATGATAAATGGGTATCAAAGGAGTACTGCCTTGTC